TGACACTGCCTAACGTCCCTGGGGATGGAGGAGGTGGTGCTGGCAGCTCCTCTCTGGGACCCACCTCATCTCTCTTTCCTCAGTATTGTCAGTTGTATCTGCTATGCTTTGGAAACCACCCGCCTCCATTTTAAATCCAGAAATCCCATATTCTCCCTTCATATATGTACCAAGGTCTCCACTTTGGAAATGTACACCTCTTTCCACCATACACACACACACACACACACACACACACACACACACACACACACACACTTCTACTGGGCAATAGGTTCCTTTCATCTCTAAAGACCAAAAGCTAAAGTGAGTAGATGTATTAGATATTTTTCATGTATCCTGTGTTATGCAAATTGGAGTTTAAACATCCAATATTAATGCAAAACAACTTCTGGGGGGAAAAAAGGCTAAAAGCCACACTTCCCTAAAGGCTGCTTCTACACTGAACTGCAGATGTAATTATCAACACTCTTCAGTTCTTCTTAGAAACGCTTTGTGGGAATAATGGCACCAGGGTCGGGCTGCTTGAGTGCACAGCAGTGTCGGCATTCAAGTGGCTGCTGAGGTCGCTCTCAAAAGATGAAAGTGAGATGGGCGGGTGAGGCAACGCGCCACTGAGGATGGTCCCAGTCACCCTGGCCGGAGCCTTGTCCAGTGATCTCATGGGCTTTTGTGCTGTGAAATCAAATCAATGCAACAAAAGAACCACATCTGGAACACACAGAAATTTCATGTCTTGGGAGAGAACAGATATCTCTTCCTGCTGTTATTCCCCACAAAAAGAGATACATGGATCAAAGGAACAGAATGGAGAGCCCAGAGATAAACCCACACACCTGTGGTCAATTAATCCTCAACAAAGGAGGCAAGAATATACAAAGGAGAAAAGACAGTTTCCTCAGCAAGTGGTGTGGGAAAGCTGGATAGCTACATGCAGATCAATAAAGTTAGAGCACATCATATACAAAAATAAACTCAACATGGCTTAAGGACTTAAGTATAAGACATAGCACCATAAAACTCCTAGAAGAGAACATAGGCAAAACATTCTCTGCTATAAATAGTACCAATATTTTCTTAGGTCAGTCTCCCAAGGCAAAAGAAATAAAAGCAAATATAAACAAATGGAACCTAAGCAAACTTACAAACTTTTGCACAGCAAAGGAAATCACAAACAAAATGAAAACACAACCTGTGAACTGGGATAAAGTATTTGCAAACAATGTAACCAACAAGGGCTTAATTTCCAAAATATTCAAAAAGCTCATATAACTTGATATATTTTAAAAAAACTCAATCAAAAAAGGGGCAAAAGAACTAAACAGACATTTCTCCAAAAAGGCGTACAGATGGCCAACAGACACATGAAAAGATGCTCAATATCACTAATAAGTAGAGAAATTCAAATCAAAACTACAGTGAGGTACCACCTCACACTGGTCAGAAAGGTTATCATCAAAAAGTCTATAAATAATAAATGCTGAAGAAGGTGTGGGGAAAAGGAAACCCTCCTACACTGCCGGTAGGATTGTAAGTAGGGGCAGCCACTATGGAGAACAGTATGTAGACTTCGTAAAAAGCTAATAATAGAGCTACTGTATGATTTAGCAATCCCACTTCTGGACATATATCCAGAAAAGACAAAAACTCTAATTGGAAAAGATCCATGCACTCCAATGTTCACAGTAGCACTATTCACAATATTCAAGACATAAAAACAACTTAAATGTCATCAATAGATAAATGGATAAAGAAGATGTGGTACATATATGTATATATATCTATATATACAGATAGATATGTATATAGATATATGTACACACATAATGGAATATTACTAAGCCATAAAAATAAAATGAAATAATGCCATTTGCAGCAGCATGAATGGATCTGTCGATTAACATACTAAATGAAATGTCAGACAACAAAAGACAAATAACATATAATCACATATCATAGACGTGGAATCTAAGAAAATTATACAAATGAACTTATTTACAAAACAGAAACTGATTCACAAACAGAAAACAAACTCATGGTTAACAAAGGGGAAAGTGGAGGGTGGGGGAAGGATAAATTAGGAATTTGAGATTAACATCTACACATGACCATATATGAAATAGAGAGCCAACGAGGACCTACCATATAGCACCGGGAACTATATTCAATATTTTATAATAAGCTAAAAGGGAAAAGAATCTGAAAAAGAATCTATAGGTATATGTGTAGCTGAACCACTTTGCTGTATACCTAAAACTAACACAGTATTGTAAATGAACTATACTTCAATTTTTCTTTAAAAAAAAAAAAAAGCATTGCTTTTTCTGGCATGTAAAATGCTATAAAAAAAAATTGTCCAGAAATGACTTTTAAAGTGCTAGGAGCTGGCTATAACAAATGGAATGGTGGAATTGGAGAAAACAGTATTTCCTGTGATAGCTGTCTGCAGGGTTTTTTTGTGAGTGTGGGGTTTAAAACATTTTGTGATGATTATAAAATGTCTCTCCCATACCTCCCCTGGAGTTTCTCTCTACTTTCCTGTTCCAATCAGCACTTATTAATGCCAGACCACTGGGAAGCCACCTAGAGGGGATCACCCTGGATGTGAGCAGATGTGTGTCAACATTGCTATAAAGAGATGGTACTGGTAGGCTGGGGCTTCCCAGGTGGCACTAGTGGTAAAGAATCTGCCTGCCAGTGCAGGAGACATAAGGGATGCGGGATCGATCCCTGGGTCGGGAAGATCCCCTGGAGGAGGGCATGGCAATCCACTCCAGTATTCTTGCCTGGAGAATCCCATGGACAGAAGAGTCTGGTGGGCTACAGTCCATAGCATCACACAGGGTCAGACATGGCTGAAGCAACATAGCACAGACGCACTGGTAGGTTGGACCAGAATGTGATGTCATTGAAAATAACATGCTGCCTGCATCTACACATGGCTGCCGTGGTAAGGAAGGATCACATGCATTTTGTGAGGGTCCACAGGGAAGAACAAGGCCCAACAGATGGAAGCTAGGCTTTGGTTTGACTTAGAAGATTTACTAACAATTCAACACAAACATTCTCAATGACAGAACTTGCCAGATTGTGAAGCAGCAAACACATCATCATAAATAGCATTCAAGCGGACACTGGATGACTGCTATCTATCAAAAGAGCTGTAGAAAGGATTCTATGAATGGAAAGAAAGGCTAGAGCACACCATGAAGACTCATGAGAGGTACTACGAACACTGGGACATCTGATGAGCCCTGTTCAGAGAGAGAGAGAGATCTCGTCCCCATTGAGAACACCAAGGGCGTACCTGGCTCCAAGTTCTCCTGGGCTGGTGCTGGGAGATCCCACCTCAAACTGCACTCCAAAGACCCTCATGGGATCCCAGGACTGAGTCCCAGGCAGGATATTTGGTTTGTAGGAGTTGGGGTTTTTTGCTCTGTTTGCGGAGTTTCCAATCTGGCCCCCATATGGCAGGAGACAAATTTTTCTGATGGATTTCTGTACACAGCCGGGTTTGGGAGAACAGATGCCGTTGGTCAGGCCAATAGCCATAAATTTCCAGGAAATAACTCTTGGTGACTGAGGAAGAAAGCCATAAAACAGCCTGGAGGCAGGGACAGGAGAAAACAATGGCAGAGGACAATGTATGGCATTACCACTGAATGCCAGGACGAACCCCATGGATCATTCTCCTGGCTCGAACCACTGCATGGGGGGTGACTGTGCCAAACACGTTCCCCAGTGTCCAGAGAAGGGGAAGGGGTCCTGACATCCCAGACTCTTCCTCTTCCTCTCCTCTGGTTTATTCATCAAATAGTTACTGAAACCTCCTTCGCAGAAGGCACCATATGGAGCTCGCCAAGAAAAAACAGACCAAGTCCCTGCCTAGTACAGCTTACATACTGGTCATCTCTTAGGTCTCACCTGCTGGAGGGAAGGAACAGTAACTAACACGGACTGTGTCCATATGGTGCCCGGAGCTTTTACAGACTTACCTGTGTGGGTTTTCACAACAACCCCCAAGCATCCATGTGTTACACTTCTAACACATGAGGAAACTGGAGGGTCAGTCAGTGTCATCAGCAAGACGGAATGGGTCTCTGACTACTTTCTCCTGTATCTGTACATGGCAGCCCTATGCCACTGTGCCACAACTGGCCATCTGTTTGCACAGTTCTAGAGCCTGGAACCCAGCCCTTCCATCCCCTTCACTTTGCATCACTTTGCAAGAAAAGGTAAGGGCAAGTTGCCTCCAGAGCTTCTGTAGCACTCACCCAGCTGTTCTTGTTTAGTCACTTAGTCCTGTCCGACTCTTTGCAACCCCATGGACTGCAGCACATCAGGCTTCCCTGTCCTTCACTATCCCCTGGAGCTTGCTCAAACTCATGTCCATTGAGTAAGTGATGCCAACCATCTCATTCTCTGTCGCCCCCTTCTCTCACCCTCAATCTTTCCCAGCATCAGGATCTTTTCCAATGTGTTGGCTCTTCACATCAGATGGCCAAAGTATTGGAGCTTCAGCTTTAGCATCAGTCCTTCCAATGAATATTCAGACCCTCCTCATTAACCCAGGCTATACCCCTAGAGCAGCCAGCAGATGTGATCCAGATGTTAGTGGTGGTGCTTTCAATCTTCCTCATACTTTTATCCCCAGTCTCCTTCCAACTCTAAATTTCCAAGTTCAGCACTCCTAGCTCAGGTCTGCCCCCAGCCCACCCTCAGGCTTGGCGCTCTTCCTTGGTCTTTCTGGCTTTTGCATCTCAACTTCTCCCTAAGGGTCCCCTGGGCATGTTTCCCTGGTCCCCAGCACCCATGTGGCCCCATGCAAAAACAATCTCCTTTCCTCCCCACTTCCAGCAAACACTCCTCTGATGCCCCACATGGTCTTCCCCCAAAGGAATGACCTGCTGCCCATCTCCCTGGCCCTCATCACAGGCCCAGGTGGTCCAAGGACATGGAGGACCCTGGCCAGGCCCCAAGATGCAGAGCCAGCAACTCACCGAAGTTCTCCCCGCCCCAGATGTCCATGTCTGTGTCGTATTTCCCCAGGTAGTCAAACCAGGATTTGTCCATCACGAAGAGCCCTCCAGCTATGATGGGAGTCCTGTGCAGTTGGCAGGAAAAGAGGGAGGGTCAGTCAAGGGAGGGGGCCCACTGTCATGTTCTTCTGCCCTTTCGGTCCTGACATTGAGGCCATATCTTTCCCGTTTCTGCTCCTGTTAAGAGAGACCCACACGTGGTCCACTTACCCCAAACAGGAACACGCTCTGGGACTTTTCCCATTGACTATAAACCTACTGACCCTGCAGACAGGCTAATTCACTCACCTGCACACCTCCTGTGGGGCGGTTTCCAAATTTGCTCAGAAGTCTAGCCTTTCCTGACTCTCTCACAGGCCCTGCCCAGCTGGGCTCTCCTGGGAGCCCCACAACAGAGGGCAGGGACTGTGAGCCACTGACTGGGCACAGAAGAGAGGCTGAGGCAGCACTGTGAACAGCACATCTGTTTCTTGAGACTGGTCTCTCTCCCCCACTCCGCCCCCCCTCCACTACAGATTGAATTATATGCCCTGAAAAATGTGCCGGGGTCTTAACCCCCAGTGGGCTTCCCAGGTAGCAAAAGTGGTAAAAAACTGGCCTGCCAATGCAGGAGATACAGGTTCAATCCCTGGGTCAGGAAGCTCCCCCTGGACTCCTGGAGGAAGGCATGGCAACCCACTCCAGCATCCTTGCCTGGAGAATCCCATGGACAGAGGAACCTGGTAGGCTATATAGTCCATGGGGTCGCAAAGAGTTGGACACGACTGGAGCAACTTAGCACGGACGCAACCCCCAATACCTCAGAATGTGACCTTATTTAGAGAAAAGGTCTTCACAGAGGTGATAAAGCTATAATGAGGTCATGGGGCTGGTCCCAATCCAATAGGACTGGTGTCCTTATAAAAGGAGATACTCAGTCGCAGAAACAGACATGCACATAAAGAAGATGACGTGAGGAGACACAGAGAGAAGGTGGTCCTCTGCAAGCCCAGGATGGGGTCCGGCATGGCCCTCAGGAAGAAGTCACCCTGCTGACACCTCGAACTTGGACTTCTGGTCTCCAGAACTCAAGACAGCACATTGCTATGGTTTAAGCCATGCAGCCTGTGGTGCTCTGTTGCAGCAGCCTTCATCTTCATTCTCTTTCCTTGGGGCCCCTCCCCACCTCCCCTCTCCTTGACTGCTGAGAGAGATTCCAAAGAAGCTACTTGGAAAGGAAAGGGCTGCAGAATCCAGTCAAACAACCCAATGATCACAAGGATGGGTATCTGGGGTGGGGGTGGAGGGTGAGCCCCTGGGACTAGGCCCCTCATTCAGCAGGTCCAGACAGAGAAGGGAGCTTTATGCCAAACAGTCAGTTGATATGGAGCAGGTCAGAAGCTCGGTCTGCCAATGCCATGACATCCTACTGTCCTCTGATAACTGGCTCAATCCTGGGAAACACTTGTCCTCTGATGAGCAGAGATATCCCACAGGAAGAGAACCAGCCCTGAGAACCCCACCCCTGGGACAGAGAAGGGAAACCAGAGCCACCCTGTCCTTGCCTCGGCCTACTGCTGCTTCAGGTGACTCTGGGAGTGTGGCAAGTAACCGAGGCACTGCTGTGCTGCATGGCCCTCAGGATGATCAGAAGGTTCTGCTCTCCCTTGAGGAACAAGAGCACTATCTGGTGTGCCGCGCAGCTCCCATCTCCCTCTCAACATCACTCCAGATCGTGAAGGCTGGAGGAGGGAGGGGGGGCTGGCTGGTACATGCGACAGAGGTTCCACTGCAGGGTTCTCCCAATCTCCACTGTCTGTCACCACTCAATCCTTCATAACCCTTTAGGTCTCTGTTTGACTTAAGTTAGTTCAGTGAAAAGGCTTCCCTGGTGGCTCATATGGTGAAGAATCCGCCTGCAATGCGGACGACCCAGGTTTGATCCCTGGGTTGGAAAGATGCCCTGAAGAAGAGAATGACAACCTATCCAGTATTCTTGCCTGGAGAATTCCTTGGACAGAGAAGCCTAGCAGGCTACAGTCCATGGAGTAGCAAAGAGTCAGACATGACTAAGCAACTTACACACAAACAATTCAATGAGAATGATCAGACATTTACTCTATGCAGGCCCTGAGAGGCAGAGGTTCCCCCAAGGAGCCCAGGGCATCTCTGCATTCCCCAGAAGGAGCAATTCTAGTTCCCTGGTGTTCTCGCCACATCCTCAAGCACTTGCTGGCCTCCTGAGGCTCCACTGGAGGCTGATAAGTTTTGGCTTGGAGGTTCCCAACAGGCCTGGGACAGGCGTGCTCTCCAGGCTTAGGAATATCAAGGCCACACACATGATGCTGAGACCATTACTTGGACGGCCAAGCCCTCAGATGGGCCCAACCCCAGGCAGCCATCCGGCCACTTTGCTGTGGGTCACAGTGGGGGCTGGAGGTGAGAATGTAGATAAGGACAAGGCCATCTACAGCACCACACAAGCAGCCCAGAGCTGACGCACCAGTCATGTGTGTGAGCACGTAGCAGTGGCCATGCCTTGACAGCAGCCTCCACCCATAGCAATGGCTGACGACCCTCCTGGGCTGAATACTGACATCCAGGACCTGGAGGCTAAGGAACCTTCTTTCCCCTTGTCAGAGGCTCAAATGGGACCACGTGGAACCCTCCAACATTTAGCAGGAAGTGTAAGTATATCAAGGCTTCCCAGGCGGCGCTAGTGGTAAAGATCCCACCTTAGGAGTTCATAAGAGACATAAGAAACACAGGTTTGATCCCTGGGTTGGGAAGATCCCCTGGAGGAGTGCATGGTAACCCACCCCAGTATTCTTGCCTGGAGAATCCCATGGACAGAGGAGTCTGACGGGTTATGGTCCATAGTGTTGCAAAGAGTCGGAGACAACTGAAGCAACTTAGCACACATACACGTAAGTACATCATGGCAGATGTGAACGATGCTGAGCCAGTCCTTAGCACAGGTCTCCCTCCACCAGACCCCATCCCTCCAGCAGAAATCTCCACAAGGACAGAAACCTCCTAAAATAAGGGCAAAAGTGGCGCTGGCCTGGCAAAAGTTCCTCTTGGTTTCTGGCCAATCTTTTGAGCCTCTCCTGTGGACTGCTTCCCTATAGCACGTGACAGAGGGAAGGGCCAAGTGGTAGTGAATCTTCCCACCCCACCCTTGCCCTGACTCACCTAATGGGCTCAGTGGGGTCCAGGCGTCGAGCCTTCTGCTCTGGTGTGAGCTGCTCCCATTGGAAGTGGAGGCTCCAGTCAAACCCTGAAACACAGCATCCAGTCTGACTCAGTCTCTCTGATGTACCTGCAGAGCTTGCTCATTCGGGCTCATGAACATACCCAGTTTCCCAGGTGGTCCTGGGATAAGAGATCTCACCCAGACTGGTTGGCAACAGAGCTGCCTGATTTCCCTTCCACTGCTGCTTCTTTCTCCAGGCCCTCCTGCCTGTCTGAGCCTTCTCTGCTGGGTGGACTTAGGGAAGAAGGGCAGAGGATACAGAGTGGGAGTTGAGAGACCCCAAGAGTGGTACCCAAGGGGGACATGATGGACAATTCCAGAGTGCGGCCCTTGGCCATGAGTCTTGGGAGTGGGGTGGGGGGGGGGGGGCTGTGAGCAGGAGGTCTGTGAGGGTTGAATCACTCCCAGTCGGTCTTGAGGAGTCAGCGCTCAGCCCTGGGCACAACTGTGGTGGGCCTCAAGGAGAGAGAGGTACCCAGTGCTGAGGTGTCAGAACAATGCAGGCCCCACAGGGCGGGGCGGGTGGGGAGTCCTGCTTCCCTCCCATCCTCAGGCCCTGGGGTGACCTGCCCCCTCTCTGATGCTTCCACGCACAGTCCCGTGGTCAGGGCCACCCTGCAGCTACTGACATTACAGGATGCAGGGCCGGAGGTTCCAGAAAAACCATTAGGAGACCTTTCCTCTCTCTCCCTTGGCAGCAATGACTAGGACAAAAAAGTCTTTCTGGGCGAGGGCATTGGTTGGCCCCACTCACCCCCTCTGAGCTCCGAGGCCGACTCAATGTAGTTGAAGGTGTCCAGGTGAATGATATCAATCACGGGGCACACCACCCGCGTGTAGTCCTGGAAAACGGAAGGCCCGCACTCAGATGGTGGCATCAGGGAGGCAGGCTTGGGATTGGGGGGCAGGGCGGGGGAGGGCCGGAGACTGGTTTCAGGGCCTTGACCAAGCACATCCCTCTCTGCATTTCAACATTTCTCATGTATAAAGTGGGCCATCAGACACTGTGACCTCTCCACAATGCCTACAATGCTAAGAGCCTTTCCTTGACCCTTGGGCGCCTGCTCGTGGCCATCTAGGCATGGTGGGGACATGGGGAGGCTGGCGGGAGTGTGCTGCTCACTGAGGAAAGGGACATCAGGAAGAAGGGGGCCCAGGAAGTCCTTCAGTGTCACGGGGCTCTCAGGAGGCAGTGGACAGAGTCAGCTGGGAAGGTGACCGCAACAGCTCCCCTCACAGTGGGAATTTCCCAGTACTCAACCTTCTATGCCTATGGTTCATGGGCAAGTTGAGAATAGCATCTCCACAGATTCTTAACTTCACTTTGTCACCTGTGATACTTGAATCTGTAACTTCAGCCCCAACTTTGCTCCTCACTTCCCGACTCAAGCAGACCCAGTACACCACCCGCCTCTCCATACGGATTCATAAAGCTCTGCAGTGGGGCCTTCACCAGCCTCCCTGCACACGTTCCTTCCCCTGGTTCCCTACTTCTGTCAACGTGTCCCCCTTCCTCTCCAGCACTAACTTAAGAAGCCCCACCTCTGCCCATCAACTGGATCAATCCTGCTGATTGTAACTCTGAAACCGCTCTTCTGAATGGAACCTCTCTCCTATCCCCTCACCCCTGCAGTACAAAGCAATGGCAATGAACTCCTGGCCCTCCCCCTCCCCCCCCTCACCCCCTCACCCCTTTCCCTGTCATTCTACAGGTGGCAGACACAGTTGACTTTCAAATCTCACTCTGCAGCTCTGCAGCTAAAAACCTGAACTGGCTTGAAAACAAGGTTCAAACTCCTTAGCCCAGCATCCAAGACCATCAACAAGAGGCCTGTATCTAGTTTCTGCTGGGTTTCCCAGGTAGCTCAGTGGTAAAGAATCCACCTACCACACTGCAGGAGATGCAGGTTCAATCTCTGGGTCTGGAAGATCCCCTGGAGAAGGAAATGGCAATGCGCTCCAGTATTCTTGCTGGGAAATCCCATGGACAGAGGAGCCTGGCAGGCTACAGTCCACGGGGTTACAAAAGAGTCGAACACAATTTAGCAACTAAACAACAATCTAGCTTTACAGCCTCATCACTTGCTCTTTCCCCCAGGCTATCCTGCTGATGAGCATCAAAGTCCTCAAGGAGATAGTTTCAAAATCTGCAAGACTTCTCAGGGGCCATCAAGGCGTTACATGGATTTTTAAAACGTTTCTTACTGTTGGGGCTTCCCTGGTGGCTCAGACGGTAAAGCACGATGTGGGAAACCCGGGTTCAATCTCTGGGTTGGGAAGATCTCCTGGAGAAGGAAATGGCAACCCACTCCAGTATTCTTGCCTGGAAAAACCCATGGGCAGAGGAACCTCGTAGGCTATAGCCCATGGGGTCACAAAGAGTCGGACATGACTGAGCGACTTCACTTTCACCTTTCAGCTTTTACTGCTGGGTGAGCACCCCTATGCTGATGTGGAGGAGGGGAAACTGGGCCCCAAGGGCAGGATGATGAGAGTCCAGGAGCTGGGAAGAGCCAACGGGCCTGGACCAGCCAGGCAGTGCCAGGCACTTTTCCAGTCCTCTGCCCCTCCCTGTCCTGGTCAGCATGGGCAGGCACTTCTGTTTCTCTTGCAGCGATTTAATTTCCTGGTTCAATCTCTCCCCTAAATGAGGCTGTCTTCTTATTTTAAGCTCAGAATCACTGAGTACCTGCCTTGATGTTCACAGACTTAATCTGGCCTCAGTCTCCATACAGGACTCATTCCGAGAGTGACAAGGTGCCTTTGAAGCCAACTGGCTCCCGTGGAAGGAAATGCTCATTTTCAGTGCATCGCTTCCCCCTCTGGGATGTGCACAGATGCTTCCAGCACAGTCAATGCTGTATCTGACTGGCTGCCACAGTGCTCTGAGGCCACTGCCATCGTGTATCCAGGTGTGTATACACACCACGTGCACACACAGCCACCCCCCACCCACACCACTATCTACACAGAGACACACCCCACTCCTGACTTGAAATCTGAAATGCTCTCAGAAGTTCAGAGACTGACTTTCTTCTGTGGGTATGACAGAGGCCTCTTTTTGCCTTTGTCTGCTGAGTTTGGCTTCTGCAGCTTCACCAAATCCTTAGGTAGGCCCTTGTGCACCAAAGGACTGACCTAAAGATATGCTTAGCCCTTGCCCAACCCCTGAGAGGTATCTTCTAAGCCCTTAACTTGTTCTGCTTATAAATGTCTCTGTTTACCTGGGAGCCCTGGGCTATATTAGACTCTGCTGACAAGGAGATTTGTGGTGAGAGCCTTGGGCCATGTGGTACCAACTCAATTTAACCTCTGGAGGGGCATGGAGACTGTGGCAGTGATCAGTCATGTCTACATGGCTGACCTCCGATAAAAACCCTGGACGCCAAGGCTGAGGTGGGCTTCCCTGTTCGGCAGTTCGCCATGCAAGTTGCCACACGTCCTGGTGGCAGGAAGCAAGTCCTGCCCACACACCAGCTCTAGGATGATCATGCCTGGAACTCTTCCCATGCGCTTTTTCCTGCTGCTGATTTTAACCCATATCCTTTTGCGGTAATACACAGTAACCATGCGTATATAGTAAATTATTGAACATGAGGGTGGTCTTAGAAACCCCAAACTGAAATCCTGTTGGGTTTTTTTTTTCCATTTATTTTTATTAGTTGGAGGCTAATTACTTTACATCATTGCAGTGGTTTTTGTCATACATTGAAATGAATTAGCCATGGATTTACATGTATTCCCCATCCCGGTCCCCCCTCCCACCTCCCTCTCCACCCGATCCCTCTGGGTCTTCCCAGTGCACCAGGCCCGAGCACTTGTCTCATGCACCCAACCTGGGCTGGTGATCTGTTTCACCCTAGATAGTATACATGTTTCGATGCTGTTCTCTTGAAACATCCCACCCTCGCCTTCTCCCAGAGTCCACAAGTCTGTTCTATACATCTGAGTCTCTTTTTCTGTTTTGCATATAGGGTTATCATTACCATCTTTCTAAATTCCATATATATGTGTTAGTATACTGTAATGGTCTTTATCTTTCTGGCTTACTTCGCTCTGTATAATGGGCTCCAGTTTCATCCATCTCATTAGAACTGATTCAAATGAATTCTTTTTAATGGCTGAGTAATATTCCATGGTGTATATGTACCACAGCTTCCTCATCCATTCGTCTGCTGATGGGCATCTAGGTTGCTTCCATGTCCTGGCTATTATAAACAGTGCTGCGATGAACATTGGGGTGCACGTGTCTCTGTCAGATCTGGTTTCCTCGGTGTGTATGCCCAGAAGTGGGATTGCTGGGTCATATGGCAGTTCTATTTCCAGCTTTTTAAGAAATCTCCACACTGTTTTCCATAGTGGCTGGACTAATCTGCATTCCCACCAACAGTGTAAGAGGGTTCCCTTTTCTCCACACCCTCTCCAGCATTTACTGCTTGTAGACTTTTGGATAGCAGCCATCCTGACTGGCGTATAATGGTATCTCATTGTGGTTTTGATTTGCATTTCTCTGATAATGAGTGATGTTGAGCATCTTTTCATGTGTTTTTTTGCCATCTGTATGTCTTCCTTGGAGAAATGTCTGTTTAGTTCTTTGGCCCATTTTTTGATTGGATCATTTATTTTTCTGGAGTTGAGCTGGAGGAGTTGCTTGTATATTTTTGAGATTAATCCTTTGTCTGTTGCTTCATTTGCTATTATTTTCTCCCAATCTGAGGGCTGTCTTTTCACCTTGCTTATAGTTTCCTTTGTTGTGCAAAAGCTTTTAAGTTTCATTAGGTCCCATTTGTTTATTTTTGCTTTAGTTTCTAAAATTCTGGGATGTGGGTCATAGAGGATCCTGCTGTGATTTATGTCAGAGAGTGTTTTGCCTATGTTCTCCTCTAGGAGTTTTATAGTTTCTGGTCTTACATTTAGATCTTTAATCCATTTTGAGTTTATTTTTGTGTGTGGTGTTAGAAAGTGTTCTAGTTTCATTCTTTTACAGGTGGTTGACCAGTTTTCCCAGCACCACTTGTTAAAGAGGTTGTCTTTTTTCCATTGTATATCCTTGCCTCCTTTGTCGAAGATAAGGTGACCATAGGTTCGTGGATTTATCTCTGGGCTTTCTATTCTGTTCCATTGATCTATATTTCTGTCTTTGTGCCAGTACCATACTGTCTTGATGACTGTGGCTTTGTAGTATAGTCTGAAGTCAGGCAGGTTGATTCCTCCAGTTCCATTCTTCTTTCTCAAGGTTACTTTGGTTATTCGAGGTTTTTTGTATTTCCATACAAATTGTGAAATTATTTGTTCTAGTTCTGTGAAAAATACCGTTGGTATTTTGATAAGGATTGCATTGAATCTATAGATTGCTTTGGGTAGTATAGCCATTTTGACAATATTGATTCTTCCAATCCATGAACAAGGTATATTTCTCCATCTGTTTGTGTCCTCTTTGATTACTTTCATCAGTGTTTTATAGTTTTCTATGTATAGGTCTTTTGTTTCTTTAGGTAGATATACTCCTAAGTATTTTATTCTTTTTGTTGCAATGGTGAATGGTATTGTTTCCTTAATTTCTCTTTCTGTTTTCTCATTGTTAGTGTATAGGAATGCAAGGGATTTCTGTGTGTTAATTTTATATCCTGCAACTTTACTATATTCATTGATTAGCTCTAGTAATTTTCTGGTAGAGTCTTTGGGGTTTTCTATGTAGAGGATCATGTCATCTGCAAACAGCAAGAGTTTCACTTCTTCTTTTCCTACCTGGATTCCTTTTACTTCTTTTTCTGCTCTGATTGCTGTGGCCAAAACTTCCAAAACTATGTTGAATAGTAGTGGTGAGAGTGGGTACCCTTGTCTTGTTCCTGATTTTAGGGGACAAGGGACATATTTTAAATATTTTTTAAAATATTTTAATTATTTTTATTTTATTTTATATTTTATTTTTTATTATTTTAATATTTAAATTTTTTAAATATTTTAAATTTAAAAAAATTTTTTAAATTTTTTAAAAAAAAAAACCTTTCTCCTCAATATTTGGGAAGTGAAATGCAAAATAAAATGCTCATTACTCACCCTGGCCACAGACTTCCCCAGAAGCCACTCACGCGCACAGCCTCTAGGGCTACGACAGGCTCTTGGGTACTCTCCTATGAGTTCTGAGGGTTTCTGCATGCATGCGTGCTACGTCACTTCTGTCATGTCCGACTCTTTGTGACCCTATGAACTGTAACCTGTCAGGTTCCTCTGTCCACGGGGTTCTCCAGACAAGAAGACTGGAGCTAAACCGCCTGTCTTATTTCCACTTTCAGGGAATCTTCCCAACCTAGGGATCAAATTTGCATCTCTTACATCTCCTGCATTGGCAGGCAGGTTCTTTACCACTAACGCTACCTGAGAAGCTCTCTCAGAGCATTTCTATCTTTCTATTATTCCCATCACAACTTAGCTGTGGCAAATTCTTGGTTCAGACACAATGGAGGGCCAGTTAGGCAGAGAGGAATGTTTGGGGCTAAGTGATGTGTGGAGCCAAGACCTTAAGAGAGGGCTGCAGGGGATGTTAGACATGACCTCTTAAAGCCAGGACACAAGCTTCTTGAATGACCTTGGGGGTCTCATCTGCTCCATTTTTACATTCCTCAGCAGCCCCTGCCCACCCCCTAGTCCAGAGCCTGCTGGGCAGCAGGTGTTCAGTTGACACTGGGTGAAAGAGGGAAGCTATGAACTCCCTCTGAGGACACTGTCGGTGGCTGGAGACAGAGCAGGTGGGCCAATTATGGCTGAGCAACATGGCCTTGTCTTCTGTAGGCTCAGAGATGGATGTACTCTCCATAAAGATGCCCAGACCCCCGCAGGCTCCCACCCGTGTGCCCAGGTGGCTGTATCTTCAAGGCTAGGTCCACAAGTAAGCTCTGGTGGAATGTCTGACAGATCCAGAACAAGGCCCTACCCTCTCCCCGACACAAATCCAAGCCCACCCCTCACCCCCACCGAGAGCCGATGGCCATCAATCACCCCTCCAGTTATGTCTCTTCTTTCTCCACCATAATTAAAACCATGTTGTGAATGGGCAGTCAAGAAACTTCCAGAGATGACCATTCACTCATTGCATCCACCAGCATTACTGGAGCACCTACTATGGGTTCGGGACTGTGGTTGGCACAACCTTGCTGTCTGGGGAAGGTGGTGCACAGAAGAGCAGAGGATGACAGTGTGGGGTCTCTGTTAGCCTGGAGGGAGGGATGGGGGAGCAGGAGCAGGGCCAGAGACCTGGGTTCCTATTCTGGTTCTGCCATGCAGCATACATTTGACCTTAAAGCAAAGCAGCATACTCTGAGGAGCTCTGCTTCATCTGTGAAGCAAAAACAATCTATAATTTGCAAAACTACCCTGCCTTCCTCACAGGACTTTTGGAAGAAAAAAGACAGGAAAGCATGGGAAAGGGCTTTGAAGCTTATGTAAGCCATTATTTATATCAACTTGCCAAATGCTATTGGGATGGAAGTTTCTTAAAATCTTTTTTTTCCTACTAAAGGAATATGTAGATAAGGAGAAGAGGGAAGAAGACTCTGTTTAAAGAAACCCAACAACGTGGTGCGTGCTTCAAGTATCATCAAGTAATTGAAGGGAAGGACGGGAAATCAAGGAGATTTTCCATGTGGAAAACACCAGCTGAGGACAGCTTCTGACAGCTCAAACCCAGCCTCTTTCTTATCTCTATTTTCGAAAATCCCAAACTCCAATTACAGCTGAAAATTTCCACTTGCACTCACAAGATCAAATCATGTCTTACTCTGAGATGAGACACATCCAAAGACATGGAAACAGAGGCTGACACACACCCACACTCCCCATCTGGAAAGGGCTGTCTCAGCAGAACCGTTTCATCACCAAGAGTCGGGGTCTGCAGGGGCAGGGCGGGACCACGGTCAGGGTTTGTCTGAGCAATCCTCCACTATGAAAGCGTTAGGTCAGACAGTGATGGGGACCGGGAGCTTGGCCTTGGAAGCTGAGCTCACTCTTGGGGCTGTATGACTTCTAATGGAGGACTGCTGTGCAGGTGAAGTGGCCAGGGATGCCCAAGAGGGCATTTTTCAAAGAGGGCTTCTGAGGTGGACTCGGAGCCACAGCAAAGGGAAGGGCCTCCAGATTCATTAAGGCTGCCTGAGGATGGCATCCTGCAGGGACACATCAGCTTGAAGGTCCCTACAGATCCCAAGCTGAATCACCACACCAACCCAGGAATTCCACTCCTTGGTATGTCCCCCAGAGAACTAAAATCAGGTACTCAGGGGAAAACTTGCACATGAATGTTTGCAGCAGCATTATTCACAATAGTGAGAAGGCAGAAACAACCCAAATGTCCATTAGTAGATAAGTGGATAAATAAAATGCAATATACACTGTGCTGTGATATAATAAGAAATAAATTGGCCTTTGTTCCTCTTAAAACTTTTGGAAATTCCTGACTAATTGGGGTGACAGGAGGGGCTTCCCTGGTGGCTCAGAAGCTAAAGAATCTGCCTGCAGGAGACCTGGATTTAATCCCTGGGTTGGGAATATCCCCTGGAGAAGGGAATGGCAATCCCCTCAGCATTCTTGCCTGAGGAATTTCAGCAAGCTACAGAAATGCAGACAGAAGTTACAGTTCATGGGGTTGCAAAGAGTCGGACATGACTGAGCAGCTAACACTTTCACTTTCACTTGGGGTGACAGGAACATCTTTTCTTCTCATAATGAGCCTCTTTCGTTATATCTAAGTTTATACTAATGAGGTGACTCTCTGAAGACCGGGGCTGGTTTCTAGAGGAAACAACCCTGTGATTAAAGGGCTGGAAACTTCAGCCCCACCCCCAGCACTCTCACATTTCTTTCCCCATTGACCTCCCCTCTTTCCAACCCCAAGGAGAGGAGAGACTGAGCTCAACTACATAAAGAAGTCTCCATAACAACCCTAAACAACATGGTTTGAAGAGGTTCTGGATTGGGGAACTTAAGCAGGATGTGGATTCCTTTTATGTGGTCCATCCCCAATTGTTCCTCAAAACCCTGCCCCAACAAGTGTCCAATAAATACCTGTTAGTTAATTTACAGTCAGGAAGCAAGCACATTTTCCCCCTATTCCAAGTGTATCACTTCCCACTGCATCTAGTTTCTTATTATCATTCCAAACACTGAGCACCTTATTTCTAGGATCACCAGGAGGTGATTGGTGCCCTCTTTGGGTTTGCAATCTGTTAGAAGAGACAGAGATCTAAATTCAGAAAAGGAAATTGTGGGGCCAAATGGACAATTCTTTCTGGGAGTGATCCTAGCTGGCCACATAGTCAGAAAAGGCTTCCTGGAGGAGAGGAAACATGGATGAGGCCCTGGAGAGCAAGGGGCTGTGAAGAGGAAAGGAAGGGCATCCAGGGACAAGAAGGACTTGGTGGGAGGTGAAGCACTGGGAATGTCAGGGCACAGTCAGCGAGAGAGAAAAACCCAACTTTGTAAGGGTATTAGACCCGGGAGGCTGGCTGCATTTACAGATGGAGCACAAGGGAGGGAGAGCTCGGAAGGGCCTCCAGTGCCTGGTGAGGGCCCTCAATAGACTGGTCTGCTCATAACCTACCATGTCTCCATCCAGACCTTTTCACCATCACACATTTAGGGAAAGTGGCCATGAGATGGGTTGTAACATTCAGGCTCATGTGTGAGAACTCTGTACATCCAGCTAGGTCCTCTCATCGGATGAGAAAAGTTGGAAAGGATTTCTTAGTATTCTGAGCAGTTCACGCATCTCAATTCTTCCATTGCCTGACACTGTCATTTTGCAGGTAGGAGTCGAGGAGTCACCTCGAAGAGCGAGAAGGGAAAGAACCACAGCACAAAGCACAAAGGAGATGCTGTTGAGGCGACACTGAAGGTCTCAGGGCTGGTGGTACCAGCTAGGGAACATCAGTCCAAGTTATAGCATTGTCCCTGAAGCCGTACCCTCATCTGTGAAATGGATATGTTAAAAAATACCTGGCCTCCCACTTACAGAGCAGCTGCAGAGTCAGTAACTCGGGGGAAAATGAGCAGCATGAATGCCAGTCACAGACACTGGCATCTAAATATGCAGGGCCTTCTGTAGATAGGGGTGGAGGGTGGATAGATTTCGGGGGATATAAAATATTGATGGGAGAATTTAAAAAAATTTTTTTCACTTTCAAGAGGAATGAGACACAGAGAGAGGAAGCAGACAGAATTCTAGAATAACATAAAGGCAGACAGAGGCAAGGAATTCAGGTCTCTTGGCATCCAGCCCCCTGTGTCTTGGTCTTTGGGTGAAAGTGACATGGCTGGAGGTACAACGGAGGCCTCAAGAACTGGGTGACGAGGCCCTGTTAATTCTTCTCCCTGCTTTTCACAAATGGCACTCATCAGGGCTCCCTTTCTGGAACCTTCTCACATCTTGGAAAAAGGGATTCGGGCCATTCTCTTGCCCAGGAAGCTGTGTGCGTCCTGTCCCCGCTGTCGCCCCACCTGCTGGCCTGCTGTAGGTGACACTGTGAGGCAGAGAAGACGTCCCGGGCTTTGCTCCACCACTGTCTGCTGCATGACCCCAGGCAGGCTGCTCTCCCTCAGTCTTTCCATCTATAAAATGGGCACTGCAATCTGTCCCCTGCTCCACTTCCCAAGGGGTGGAGGGTACACATGAAGTGCTGAGCTGGAGAAAGCGGGGGGCACAGAACGCGCCTCACTCACCTCTCTGACCCTGTGCAGCAGGGGTTGGAGCCAGTCCCTGTTCACCTCGCAATGGCTGTCGAGGAAAGTCAGGGTGGTGCCCTGGGCAATGTCAGCACCCCGGATCCGGGACCGCACCAAACCTGCAGGAGGGACAATCAGCCAAGGGAGTGCCCCCGTCGCTCCATCATCCAAGGAGACCACACTGAACACATACCCAAACATGTCCCCACTCCCTGCCCCGGGCCCACTCAACAGCGCAGACCTACCTTGCCGCTCATTATTGCGTAAGCACTTCACCTTGGGCAGCTTGATGAGCTGTTTGCAGTCTTCGGCTACAAAGACAAGAGGTCGTGTGATTGAGCACCCGGAGCTGGAGGTGAACCAGCAGAGTAGGTGAGGCACCCTGCCTCTCGTCCCCACCCCCAACCACACTACCCTGTCCTGACTCCAGGGTGCTGTGGATTTTGGAAGGTGCTGACTGACCACGGCTAGCCACATACAGTATGGCCCAGTCTCTGCAAAGCGGCTGTAAGGGGGCCTCTGGAAAAGGCAGTCATGCATTGGCACTTGCGTACTTGCTAGAACACTGCCAGATGGTCACCTGGGGACATTTCTCCTTTTCTATAGCTTATCTGAAGCATGACATGGGAGTCTTATTCACTTTGGTAGGGTTCAGGAAAAAGACACTGAGAGGCCGGAGAATGGATGAGACAAACTATAGCGTTTCCTTTCAGCTCACGGACTCAATACAGGAGACCCTATTTATCAGGGTATCTCTCCAGTATATCCCATCACGCAGAGCTGGTTCAACTCTCCACACAGGGGAAATGTGTGGGGCTGAGCAAGAGACCCATCCTAGGCACTCAGCCTGGGTTGTCCTGGCTTGCCTGCCTGCTCCAGAACTCTTTTGGCTCACCAATTCTCGGCTCTGAACTTCATTATCATAAGTTGTGGTTTTGCTTCACTGGTTTCACCAACCTTTAGCTTCTCTGATTTGGTTCTGGACTCGACGGAGTGACCACAAAAACTTACAGAGGCTTCCTCAGAGCCAGGTACTGCTCTAAGCACTGAAATGTGTCAATACATTTATATCCTTATATAAACCATATATATGTTACTGTTATCTCCATTTTATAAGTAAGGAAAATGATGCATGTAGAGGCTAATAAGTCGCCCAAGGAACGTAACTATTACGTGAGCCAGTGACAGGTCTAGAATTTGAACCCAGGCAGCTGGTTCCAGAGGTGATGCTCTAACCACTGAAGCTGTTCTGCTTCTAAGTAAATTCAGCAGTGTTCCCAGTCTCCAGCCTGAGTACCAGCTACCTCCCAACACGATGAGTGGCTCCCTGCCTCCAACCCCTTCCACACTGGGGAAGGGAGATCAGATCACCGAGTTTCAGAACTCAAGTCCAATCCAATCACCCTGAATCTGGTACACGACCCACTTGTGCATAACTCCCAAGCTCCTAAGGCTATGTTAGGTGTGTGGGTTTCCAGCCTTCCAACAGTAGACCCCTGTGTGGTAGTGGCTCCTACGTCAAGCTTTCAGCATCAGGGCTGGTGCAGAAAGACTCCACTCCCATAGGACTCAGAGCTGTCCCCAGAGGCCATCACCTGCTTCCCCTGGTTCATCACTAAGAGGTGGTTCTGCCTGGATGTGGCTGACTGCCTGCAGCAGCACCCAGGCTGTGATGACAGCCCTTGGACAGGAATCAGCACTGCCTGATTCCTACATACCTGAACACTACATACCTAAAATGTAACAACACTTCTGCAATGATCGTACCTGTCAAACTGAACACACAGGTATCTGAAAACTCCCGCATGATTTTCTCGGGGAAAGTGGATTTGGACTGTGAGCTTGGGTGGGACCCAGGTTCTTGGGCAAGATAGCTAGGAGATGGGTAATGACCAGTGGTTGGAAAGTTGGAAGGCAGCTGCTCACTGTGTCATGGAAAAGTGATGGGATGTCCCAAAGACCAAGCCCCCTCTTCCCCCACAAGTCCTGTCATGGGAATGAGAGGAAGAGGGTAGGTGACCTTGGCTCATGCTGGTGAATTATCAGAGCACAGGAGTCGGGAATCTCTATTCATGGGTATTGCTTCAGGGCTCGGGGTCTCTTTGAAGGTGCAGGGTCTCTTCAAGTCCAGGAATGCATCAACAGGTTGCGGGCAGTGAACACATGCACACGTACCAACCCCAGTGATCGTGTGTACAAGTCGCTGCAGTCGTGTCTGACTCTTTGGGACCGTGTGAGCTGTAGCCCACTAAGCTCCTCTGTCCATGGGATTCTCCAGGCAAGAATACTGGAGTGGATTGCCATGCCTTCCTCCAGGGGATCTTCCCAACCCAGGGATCGAACACACATCTTTTATGTCTCCTGCATTGGCAGGTGGGTTCACTAGCACCACCTGGGAAGCCCACCAACCCCATTAAGAACCTACAATTCAGATCTGGTTAGGTCCTCAAAGACTCATAGCAGAGAACCTGAGACACTCTTTCCCAAACGTAAGGTTCATGTACTTCTTGACCCACAAGGACACTCAATGTCCTCCACACCTACTATAAACCCAGGCTTTCCTCATCCCCAGGGAACTAGCAGGTACAACTTTGCCCGCGACACAGAGGCTGGGAACAGACACTTGTGGTGGTACTTACGGTCATTGCTGAAGTCATCCACTAATATGATTTCCTGGATGAGATTCATAGGGGTGCGGTTTAATATGCTGTGAGATGGAAAGAGGAAAGATCACTGTGACTTCTAGAGTCAAATCTACGTATCAACCTGAGCTTTAAGTAGGTGCCATTTTATCTGAAGAATAAAGACTCCAAGCAACCCCAAAACTTGTCCAGTAACATGCTCACCTTTGAGCCGCTGGGACATAACTCTGCATTGTCTTGGTGAATATCACCAACACCCACCTAGCACCCAGAGCTCCAGAGCCACCCTCAACAACCCTCCCTCTCCCCGAAATCCTGAATCACACCAGTGACCAAGAATGTGCTGGTTTTCCTTGAAAATGTCACTCAGATCACCCTCACCTCATATGCCTCCATTCTGGTTCAACCTCTTTTGCCTGGTTTTTTAAACACATATTTTTTAAAAATTTTTATTTATTGATTTTTGGCTGTGCTGGGTCTCCTTTGCTGCAGGCAGGCATTCTTTAGTTGTGACGACTGGGTGCTACTCTTCGTTGTGGGGCACAAGCTTCGCATTATGGTGGCTTCTCTTGTGGAGCATGAGCTCTAGAGTGCAGCAGGTTCAAGAGTTGCAGCGCATGGGCTTGGTTGCTCAGTGGCATGTGGGATTCTCCTAGACCAGGGATTCGAACCCGTGTCCCCTGCACTGGCAGCCAGATTCTTAACCACTGGACCACCAGGGAACAGACCACTGCCTGTTTATTTTGCAGTAGCCTGACCTGCTGCCAGGCCATCCTTCTGTGACCTCCAGAGTGAGCTGTCTGAAGCACAGACCTGATCTTCAATCATGCAACTTACCTCACTAACGCAAATAGAGAAGTTGACAAAAAGGCTCCCCACAATCTACACCCCAAACCCTCAGCACGCTCTTCAAGGCCTTTCCCAGTCTGGAGCCAGCCCCCTTTGCAGCCTCCTCACGCCCAGTGCCTTTGACTGGAGACATCCTGCTTCTTACAACTGAAGCCCGTGCCCCTACTGCTGTCACAGCGTGAGATGCCCCTCGTCTGTCACAAGGACCCATTCAAATGTCACTTCCTCTCTAACAGCTTTCCAATCCACTTAGTGAGAATGAATTGCTTCCTCCTCTGGGATCCCTCAGCTGTTTGTATCTGAAGCTTCCTGCATCTCTCACGGCAGCCTGACTCTGAGGGCTGGTTTCCTGGCCCCTCCAGACTGTCACCTCCCAGGGGCAGCGGCCTCGTCAAGCTACTCTCTGTATTGCCAGAGTGCAGCTGCACCTTAGCCCATGACTGTTCCCTCCAAGGATGTTTAGTGCACACCTACTATATGCTAGGCACTGCGTATGTGATGCAGATCAAGGGAGATGTGAACCTAGCCCTCAGCAGCTGTGGTCTAGAAGCTACTTACTACAAGCTGTGTGAACTTGGTCAGGTTACTTTCCTGCTCTGTGCAGTAAAGTATTCCCATCTGTAAAACGGGAATAATAAGAGTAGTACCCATCATTCATAGGGCTGTAGGGAGAATTAAAGGGAAACGTTTCTAAAGCATTCAGCACAGCATCTGCTGATAACAGTGATAAAAAGCTGTAACAATTATTACTGTTTTCTGGATCAGCAGTGATTTTTGAACTGACTTCATCTCCCTTCCTGTGCTGGGAATCTGTTGCCTCCAGGCAAGACTAGGTTTCCGTGTGTTTTCTGAGTCTCAGTCCTGACTGAGATGGCTGCATCCTGCTTCTCTAAACACACCAAACCGTGTGGTTCCTCGGAAACACTTCTGGGCCACGCCACAGGACACCCAGAGCCCCATGTGTACCAGGGAGGGGTTCAGACAGGCCTGGCAGAGGCTCTTACCCAGCCCTGTTTCTGGTGAGCCACCCTTTCTAAGCAAGATGCAGAGACTTCCCAGGAGGAGAACTTCCCCTGGAGCTACCTTTATTTATGAAGCCTTAATTCTTACCATGGCAACTAGAGTGAGGTGGAGAGAGGAACCTCAACCCCAGCCCCTGAGCCCACTGCTGTTGGGAGGTGAACACCCGGAGAGCAGGAGGTGGTGCGAGGGGAACCTCGCCACCATCATCCGAAAGCAAACACACCAAACTCAACAACCAGCCCTCCAATCAGAGGGTGGGGGGAGAGGGAGGCAGAGAGAGAAGGAAAACTTGCTGGAAGAATACCCTCTAATGAGGTTTGATTACGGCTGTAGCTTCTCACGCGATCTGCATCCCCTCCCCTCAATCCCTGCCCGCTCTTTGAAATTCAAGAGTTCTCTTCTGTGAACATCAAAAGGTAAATCTCGTGCAGCTCTGCGCTGGTTGAACTGAGAGATGATTAGCGAATAAAAAATGTCCAGAGTGTAAAAAATGGAAAAAAAAAAAGAACGAAATCGTCAGCAGTAAGTGCTAATTAGACTATTTCCTGGTAACACCTGGCTGGTTTTTGCTCCTCTAAACAGCAATTTGAGTGATGGGGGTTGCTGAAAAAGTGGCTCGGGGCTGGGAGGAACTGAGATGGGCAGGGGCTTTGGGAGCCTGGGGTGGCAGGAGAAGGAGAAAGGTCAAGTCCAGCCCCGGGGACCTGTCTTGGGCCCTCAGAGGGTCCCCCTGGGTCCTCTCTTCTGCACACCCTACCCTCATTGCCGCCACCCAGACCCTGGGGCTTGCACCTCCCTCCCTCCTGTGGTCTCACCAGTTCTCTGCCAGGACACCTCACCAGCCCCTCTGCAGCCAAGCCAGCCCTCCCTTCCCTCCAGGGCCCGGTTTTTCCCTTGCTTGGACCCCACTGTGGCTGTTCTGTGCCCCTTCCTTTCCATCTCACAGGGGAGTGGGTGTTCATCTTGCAGGCACATCCCAGTCACGTTGGAGCCTGGGAATTATCCAGGAAATGAGTTTCCTATCCACAGCTCACTCTCTGCCAGAAGGTAGCTACCCACAGGGTCTACACCTTCTGCCCACTGCACCCTAACCACAGCTCCCCTCCTCCAGTTCCCCGAGGGGTGGCTGGTTACAGCAGCGTGGGAGGCCCAGCGGCCTCCACCATCTACGACTGTGCGATCCTGAGCAGGACGCCCGGCAGCTCCCAGCCTTAATTTCCATCTGTAATTACATTTTCCTTGTAAAGGCAGGCGATATTAATACTTGACCTACTTCACAGGCTTTTGTGTGTATGAAATGAGGAAATGTACTTGAAATTGCTTTCTGAACTGCACGGGGCTCTATGCAGGCAGCGTTTATCAGACGCTCCATAAATGCCAGCTGAATGAAGACCTGAGGCTGCTTGACAGTTGAGTTTAGTCATTCTGGAGTCAGGCCGTCTTGGGTTCAAGTGCTGTGTCTGGGTTCAAGTGCTGTGTCTGTGTATCCGCCATTCACTAGCTGGAGACCTTCAGGAAGGATGGAACCACCAGCACAACCGCCTCAGCTGCAGGAAACGAGCTTAGCACCCTGCCTGGCGCTCAGCAGCCGCTCTTGGAATCTGGGGCTTGATAATTGTGATGATACTGGCTTCCCGGTGGCTCAGATGGTAAAGAATCTGCCTGCAGTTCAGGAGATCCAAGTCCAATCCCTGGGTCAGGAAGATCCCCTGAAGTAGGAAATAGTAACCCACCCCAGTATTCTTGCCTGGAGAATCCCATGGACAGAGGAGCCTGGCGGGCTACAGTTCGTGGGATTGCAAAGAGTCAGACACAACTGAGTGACCAAAACTTCACACTTCACTTCTGGTTCTCAATGTGTGATCCTGGGGCTAGCACAGCCTCAGTGTCACCTGGGGACTTGTCTGAAACACAAATTCATGGGCCCTACTCTAGATGTATTCAGTTGGAATAACTGGGGTTGGGACCCAGGAAACTGTATTTTAACAAGCCCTCCAGGGGATTCTGATGTCCACTCAAGTTTGGGAGCCATGGCATTAGAACCCTGCTGTCTCCCTGGGCTGGAGGTGCCTCATGGCACGTGCTGTCACCTGTCCAGGCTCACCCTGTGCCAGGATTGTTCCAAGGCCTTTAACCCCCTGAAGTCCTTCTCTCCTCACCACAATCATCTGAAGCTGTTATTAACAGTATTCCTGTTGTGCAGAAAAGGAAACTGAGGTAGAGAGGTGATGAGATGCCCAGATGTCACACAGCTGTAAGGACAGAATGGGAATATCTGGCCCCAGCATCCAATTTCTTCACCACCGTAATGTGAGAGACTGCTCCTCTAAATCTAGATTATTATGAAAAGCCACAGCGAGGAGAATCAAGATATAAACTGGCCATGCTCCAGAGCCCCCATGGGAGGCAAGGGGCAGGAGGATGCTCCAAAAGAAAAGAGGAGGCCCTAAGTCTCATATATACATAAGGACTCGTGGCAGCAGCAGTCAAGAGAAACCACTGTTCAGGGCTTTTCTCTGTCCTTAAGTGAGAAAAGTGCCCTAACTCATCAAGACTGTGACTCCCTCCCTCCCACCATCGCCCGCCCCATTGTGCCTCTGCCTGGCTCTGAGTGCCCCCATGTGCACCTTCCCAGGCCCCTCCCCTGGCTAATGCAGAAACTTGGGCAGGGGTGAGCAGAGGGACCAAGGCCTGGCCAGGTGCTGGGTGGGAGGAACCAGAGGGCAACTCAGTCTTCCCCAGTTCCTCAAGTATCTTTCCCATGACAGAGCCTGGCAGCATAGCCATCCAAATTCTAGAGAACTAAAGATGAAAAATGGGCTTCCCTGGTGGCTCAGATGGTAAAGAATCTGCCTGCAATACGGGAGACCCAGGTTTGATCCCTGGGATTGGGAAGATCTCCTGGAGAAGGGAATGCCTACCTACACCAGTCTTGCCTAGAGAATTCCAGGGACAGAGGAACCTGGTGGGCTACAGTCCACGGGGTCGCATGACTGAGCAATTCACTCACTCGAAGATGAAAAACACCTTAGAAAAGATCCTTCCATCAATGACAAATGTGAGACAGGAAGTGCTCTTCATTCAATTCCCTCCCAGTGGCTGGTGATTTATTTGTGCGACAGAACAGGGAACACGAGGGAAGAACGGATTCCCAAGGCAAGTGAAACCTGGCCGTGGAAGTTCCCAGAAGTAATCTTCCTTGCTTCCACCCCTAAAAGTCACTTCCACTCTGCCCACTGATGATGTTGAGCTCATCTGTTCACACCTGGCTCTTGGGCCCCCATTCTGCAGTTTTCATGGACCACAGGGTCTGAGGGGGGAGACTGGCTCACAATGAAGTTCCAGAGAGGCAGAAAAGAGGTCCTGGGCTCGGCCAGCAAGGCACCCAGCAGAGTGTGGTGTAGCATCTGGCACTTCATGGGGCCTTCTGAAAAGTATGGTGTTGATGGGCCCCCCGCTCCCCCTCCAGAGTGCAGGGCACCAGGGCATCCGGGGAGGCCCTCCTTCAGGCTGGTGGACAGAGACACTGGGGCAGACCCCTACTGCCCCAGATTCAGCCCCCCCAGGGAAGCCAGAAACCCGAGTCCTGGCTCTTGCACTTCCCAGCTCTGTGGCCTTGGCCTCCATTCACTATGTGCACCCTGACTTCACATACCCTGATGGGGCTCCAAATGAAGTAAGAGATGGAATGTGTTCTGTGGACCATAAAACTCAGCATTAATGTTAATATTAACATATTAATATTATTATCATAAAGTATCATTATTACTATTATAAAGAGATGGAGGAACAGCAGGAAGAGAAAGAGAAATACGTCTTAGAGCTGAAAGGAGTGAGTCTGGGGGCAGTACCTGAAGTGCCCCTGAGAACATAAACACAGTGTAAGGAAACATGGGAGGTCGGGGTCCTCATATTATAACAGCCCCCAAATGTCCCAGGGTAATGTCTTCTTGTGGGAAATGTGACAGAACTTGAAACATGAATGGTATTTTTATCATCATCAATACCAATGTGGCTAACAACATGCCCGAAGTCACAAAGCTAGGAAATGGTAGGGTGGGGACTGGACGCAGGTCTTCAGATTCCAGGTGTGGTGCCCCTTTAAAAGTGCTCCAGAGCCATACAGACCCAGGAATGGCTGCTCTAGGCCAGCACAGTTCTCAGTCTTTTACTCAAATTAATCAGAGCAGCTCTAAGCTGTAGGACTGACCGTATGCCACAGGGAGGGTAGGTAAGACATGAATAGGATACAGGCCTTCACCAACAGTTCACTGAGCATTACGTCTGGGAAAATGCATTAAGTGCAAGAGTAGAGATGTGCAGAGAAGGAGCCCAGAAGAGGTCCCTGAGGGAGTGTGAGTGTGTGGAGTGTGTGTGTGTGTGTGTGTGTGTGTATTGAGCAGGATGGAGGTTCATGGCCAGCCTGGAAGGCAGGGGGCCTCTCTCAGATGCTCTGGTGTCCTCATGGAAACATCCGGCAGACATGCCCAGATGTGACCTTGAATGGCGGGGCAGGCTGTGGTCTGGCACTGTGGAATCGCTTCCCTCTGCTCCCCATGGACCTGCTTTGCCTGCAAGGTTCAGAAACTCCACTCTCCGTTCCGCAGAAGAGACCCAGGTAAATCATCAGTTGAACCCCCGCTGAGCCCTGTGCCCCCACACAACGGCAACAGCTCACACATCACAAAGGCAGTTTATTAACCTACGTCGAGACTCACGGTGACACCTGACCGTGACTTGGGACATTTTCTTGTCAAGAGCTGAAGCCTTGTTGGGAAATCAAATTCAAAGCAGGCAGTGGCTTGTGGGGTGAATGCAGAAACCAGGGCAGATGGGACAAGCAGCTGGCAGGAGGAACCAGTCTGTGGCCAAGGAAAGCTGGGCACAGACAGCTGCCCCCAGAGATGTGGGAAGCGCCAGGTTGAAGACAGCACATTTGGGCTGCGCCCTCTTGAGTTTCTAAGGGACACTGTGACCCTGCATAGTGGACATGCATCATGAGTGACAGGTGGCATGAAGACACTGTCCACCATCAGAGTCAGCCTATCACCAACACCCTCCCAACACCTGGGCCGTCCCGCCTGCCCACAGCCATGCCCGTACGGGAAGGAGAGCAGAAGGTGTGGCTGGGTGATGGAAATGGCAGGAGGTTTGACTGTGCTTGATCGTACTCTTGGCCCACATTTAATCTCACCTCCTTCTCTGTTGGATCAGCTGACCACGTGATGGGCAAGCAGATCAGGATGGGCTGTAAGGGGCTGTGTCCCAGGGATGTGGAGCAGTTTACCCCAAGGCCAGCCCCTTGTTCTTCTGGAAGTGTGACTGGGGGCATCCTGGTGCCAACCCCTTCCCCAGAGAAGCTGAACACCACCTCTGGGACTAGCCTTGCCCTGTCAGGCTGCTGAGAACTCTGAGGGCAGAGCGCAAGGGTCGAAACCCTGCCTCACTGTTGTCAGCTGAGCAACAGTTGGCCTTAACTTGGTATCTCCGAGCCTCAGTTTCCTCCGCTGTGAAGCGGGCACAGCAGTGGCCACTCTCTGAGAGCGTGAGCGCAGGCGTGTCTGTCCTCCAGGGGCCTCAGTGTCGGTGGCTCCACCCAAGGGGCCAGTGATGCTGAGGACCTGAGTGAGCACGGCGGGCCAGATGATGCTGGAGGGAGGGCGGCCGTGGGAGGGGCTCCAGAGGAGAGGAAGGGGTGCGGCATGGGGAAGGGGAGCTGACACAACCTGGGTCTTCTGAGAGCAGGGGGCCAGGCTTTCCTGGCCAAGTTTCCTGGCCCCGACTGTGTTCTAAGGGGAGTTCTGCTGAGGGTGGGCGCTGCATACTGAAAATCCACGCAGGCCACACACGGCGAGAAAACACCGATCGGAGCAAGGGCCCGGCCCTGACAAGGAGCCAAGGGTGGACAGAGACGCCTGAGGGGGACTGGGGCTGGAGTACAAGGTGATGGGCGAGAAAGCGGACATCAGCCATTCCCTTCGGGCTGATCTGACCTGCACCACAGCCCCTGGTGAGGGTGTGGGAGGCAGGGGAGGGGCAGGTGCTGGGCTGGGCACTCCTGGCAGACTGGAGTTCTAACCCCAGCTGAATGCTGGGGGTGGAGGATGTCCTCAGCCTCTCGGGGCCCCAGCTCCCTTGTTGGTGGTGAAAATGTGAACTCCTGTCCTAGAAGCAACCTGAGCAGTGGTTAAGGGCAAGTGCCCTGGGGTCAAGTCCTCTGTGACTTTCAGTGACCTTCCATAAGTAGCCTAATGCCTCGGCCTCTGTCTCCTCCTATAAAACAGGATAAAAGCCACCCTCACAGGAGTGTGAGGAGTGACTACCCTCGTGGACGCACGTGGAGTGTGCTGAGCAGCGCCTGGTGGGTGCTTAGAAACACTGGAGCCAGTCCCCGGTCGGCAGACACGCCCTCTCTGAGCGCCGGCCCGGAGGCTGACGGACAGGAAGGCTCTCACCTGCGGACGGTCCTGAGCAGCGTGGAGCGGGCCTCGTTGTGGAAGGTGATGATGATACTGGTGGGAGGGAGGTCAGTGCCGTACACCAGCAGGGTGCATCTAGAGGAGAAAAGGGACAGGAAGGACTTTAGAGACAGAGCAGATGCAAAGAGCTGGAACTGTGGGCATCACTGGCGTCTGGTGGGGCTACCTCAGCTGCACAGCAGCATGTACAACCCCAGAGCCTCACCTGGCCCTACTGCATGGAAACAAAGCTCTGAGAATGATTAGCTGGATCTCCTACCAACCTCGGGGAACTTGTACTTAGAGTCAAATTCAGTGGATGTACAGGCCGTTCGAGGGCTTCCCTGGTGGCTCAGATGGTAAAGAATCCACATGCAATGCAGGAAATCCCAGCTCAGTCCTTGAGTTGGGAAGACCCTCTGGAGAAGGGAATGGCTACCCACTCCAGTATTCTTGCCTGAAGAACTCCATGGACTAAGGAACCTGGCAGGCTATACTTAATGGGAATGCAGAGTCAGAGACGACTGAGCAACTAACACGCAGACCCTAAAGAAGGCTGAGCGCCGAAGAATTGATGCTTTCCAACTGTGGTGCTGGAGAAGACTCTTGAGAGTTCCCTTGGACAGCAAGGAGATCAAACCAGTCAATCCTAAAGGAGATCAATCCTGAATATTCATTGGAAAGACTGCTTCTGAAGCTGAGGTTCCAATATTTTGGCCACCTGATGCAAACAGCTGACTCAGTGGAAAAGACCCTAATGCGGGGAAAGATTGAGGGCAGGAGGAGAAGGGGGTGACAGAGGATGAGATGATTGGATGGCCAACTCAATGGACATGAGTTTGAGCAAACTCCAGGAGATACTGAAGGACAGGGAAGTCTGGCATGCTGCAGCCCATGGGGTCGCAAACAGTCAGATATGAGCAACTGAACAACAACAGAACATCAGTGTGGGACTTCCCGCATCCCTGAGGCACTGCACAGTGGTTCCTGGCAGCCGCACAAGCCCACGCTCAAACTCAGGCTCTGCAGCCCAGTCGGTGCCGATCTCGGCCTGCCAAGGTCTCACCACGTTCTGGGCCGGCAGCTCCAGCCCACCACACCATGCTGATTCCCAACATCCTGTCGCCCCAATACATACACGAAAATCTGGCATGTTTAAAGAGGCTGAGCCCTAAAACTTGGCATACGCAATAAACCTGTGTCTTGAAAAGACATTCATTTCTCTGTGTCCAGGATCACTTTGTATGACAATTACATCTAGGGTAATTTCAATTTAATACCCCACTGCAAGTGAAAATTGTAGCCTGCAGCCTGAAAATTACTGTAATAATGGAAATAAACCCACCTGGTGAGGCCGGTGCCACCAGGAGCAACCCCTGGGTAATGCCTCCTCCCATTTCTCACTGTTCCAGGGGTAGTAAACGAGGACGTAAATAAGAGATGTTTGGCGAGTCAAACGTGTCCTCTGCCTGTTTTTCAATTTCTTTCCAAGTGTGGGGCTTTTGGGGTCCAGAGACCCAAGGATGGACTTCAAGGGGACTGTGAGCCCTCTGAAATCATCTACAAAGTTGTATATGAATATGTGTTTGTTTTTTTCCTGGGAAGATGGCTCATAGCGTTTAGTAGATTCTCAAAGAAGCCTGTGGACTGAAACACCTAAGAACCTCAATCCTAGGCCAATGGGCCTGACACCCATTTTGCCTCCGTGATAATTGTGAACACTTTTTCCTATAAGAGCCAACCCTGGTGGGATGTTTCAAGAGAACAGCATCAAAACATGTATATTATCTAGGGTGAAACAGATCACCAGCCCAGGTTGGGTGCATGAGACAAGTGCTCGGGCCTGGTACACTGGGAAGACCCAGAGGGATCGGGTGGAGAGGGAGGTGGGAGGGGGGACCGGGATGGGGAATACATGTAAATCCATGGCTAATTCATTTCAATGTATGACAAAAACCACTGCAATGATGTAAAGTAATTAGCCTCCAACTAATAAAAATAAATGGAAAAAAAAAAAAGAGCCAACCCTGAACACAGAGGACCTGAGCAAGGCTGGACAGGCCCCTTTTCCTGCCCTGGAGGCATCCAGCTGGGAGACAGAATGTGGCCCCACAGGTGCTGGGGGAGCAGAGGGAGGTGGGCCCCCAAATGGGGAGTAGAAGGCTTTATGGAGGAGGAGGTGCTGGGTCTCAGGGTGACATAGGGATGGATGGAGAGATATGGGGTACAGCATCCCCGTCACAGCACAGTTTTTGGACCTATAAGCCAGGTACCTAGGGAAGCAGCTCACAGAATACTGGCCGTGGGGGTCTGGATACCACTGAGCAGCTGTGAGATAGTGGGTCAACCACTTGCCTCTCCAGGCGGGCTGTCTGCTCAGCTGTAAAACAGGGCTTGAGCCCACAGCTCCCCTGCTCAAGTTTCTCCAAGCATCAGTAATCAGAAGCTTTGATTGTAGCTGACATTCAATAAGTGTGGTTGATTCGAACGAAATGCTACAAAAACCATTCTACAGTTGAGGCTCCACAGTGTGGCTGGACGTCCACATTTATTAATACTTTTCTAAGACTCATCTAGAAAGTGGAGATAATTTTTAAGTTGTAGATTTTCCCCCCTAGATTGTGACAATGTTAGGTAATTAGCTCGACAAATAACTATCATGATGTTGAACATCACATTGAAGCCTGCAGTCTCCTCCTCCCATCAGGTGGAGCCAAGTCTTGCATGGGCTGGAAAGGCACCTTCGGTGAGTGGCTCTGCCCTGTCCCACAGTGGGTGAGGGGCACTGGGAGGCAAGAGGGGGAGAAGAGAGCAAAGAATGTAGAATCCGTGTTAGAGAAAGAAACCTGGGCTGTGACGCTGACGCAAATCCTGGATCTGCTGAAAAACTGGCTGTGTGTCTTTGGACATGTCCTTTCTCTTCTCTGACCTTCAATATTATCACCTGTGAGAAGAGGTGAAGACTGCAGAGAATGCAGGCAAAACATGTGGTATTTCACAGCTGCTTAATAAACGGTGGTGAGAACTATTACTCTTATGACTACACAGTGGCTGAACCGTCCCTCCAGGCTACGTTCAATGTTTATGGACTATAACTGCAAACTCAAGAGTTCAGCCAAGGGAGGGGCTTGGAGACAATCCAATCCAGTCTCCTAAACTGGGCTGAACTTGGTAGTGTAACAGGCCTCCGTGGGCACCTGTGCTGCTGTGCTCCTGGGCCTCAGCCCCCTCCAGCCTCCTGCGCCTGCAGGATGAAGGACAGAGCCTCTTCCTGGAGGGAAGGCAGAAGTCCCATGAGCGCCTCCTGTGCGCACAGGCCCAGGAAAGGTGAGCTCTAGGAGAGAGGTGCCTCACAGCTCCTGGCACAGGGTAGTATCTTCCTCCCACCTCTGCTCACAGCTCAAGTGCCTGGACTCATCCTTTGTATCCTCTGACCCTCACAATGGCCTCTGAGAACCTCTTCTCCACAGAGGACAACTGAGGCTTGGGATCTCGCTCAAGAGCCCACGTCTGGTGAGTGGCCGAGATGGGCTGCATCCAGGTTCCGTGACTTCTAACATGGTATTTGTCCCTAATATCCCTCTGAGACCTCATCCAGGTAAAGGCGGAGGAGCCCGAGGAGCTGATGCTGGGCAGAGCCCCCCTTCCCAAGCCACCTGCCTGCCCTTCAAGGACCAGGGGGAGCTGCAGAACCACTTAGGGACGAGCCCCGGGCACTGGCAGCAACAAGGCCGAGGTGCCTGGAAAAGTCCTTAAAACTGGTTGCTGTGAGGAGAGTCAGAAGGTGCCTGGGCTTTCTGTGAGAGGATCTAAAAGATTAATCAAACAGCGAGATCTATTAGGGGCACCAGGGGAATGGAGACAGCTGCCAACACTGAGATCTGGTGCCGGCAGATGGACGAGAAAGCATGTTTATAATTTATTAAAGATTCAGGGGTTTTACTAGAGAGAAGAGCTGTGAGCAGAAAATATTGGGGGTGGGGTGGAATCAGGAGGAAGGGCGGGACCACCACTGTGTGTGCAGACAGATGCCAGCCCGGAGCTGCCATCCTGACTGCCACAGCAGCTCCTGAATAATGCACGCTCCTCTGAGCTGATTTTCCATGGGTTGTTTCTTTTTTTTTTTAAAGAGTCAACTGACTTCATTTCTGCAAGTTCAGGTGGGTCTCCCAGTGCATCCTAACCATCCATCTCTTGAGTGTTCAGCATCAGTTATCCACCAAGGATGCTTCCAGAGAGGTGCTCTGAGATGCTAACCCCTGGCACGGGGTCAGAGCTTCTTCTTCCATCTCTTTCCACCTCTCCACCAGCCAATCACTGCTCTGCTGCCTACCCCGCCGCATCTCTGCACCTGAACAGGTGCCAAAGCAGGGATGTTAGAAACACACCAAGCGAGGATGGCTGTCAGTTATCCCAGAAATGTATAATGTGTGCACATGCCTTTTATTTTATTGCATAAGCTCATTAAACTGACAGTGGCCCGTAAACAGTGTTCTGATGATTGTCATCCCCATTTTATCATCAGGCAGGAGGGCTCCTGCCGGGCCTGCCCACAGTGTGCCTGCCGGAGCTACGACCATGGTCCTCTACTTCTTGGACACACAGTCTTTCCCTGCAGGATGCCACCCTTATGGAAGAAAAGAACTGGTCATCAATTACAAACATTCAGGATTTTATACTCGAGTGTAAAAGCAGGAGGGATTGATGAAGAGGCAGACTCAGTAACTCTGAAGCAGAGAGGACAGCATAATTACTAATATGTCCAGAACTGACAATCCTCTGTGTCCAGAAGACAAAATCTTGAAGGGAGGCTTTAGTGTCCCAGAGGGGAGGTTGAGAGCAGTTAGAGAAAGGGGAAAGGTCACACAAAGATGCAGCGTGACACAGTGGAAATCAAACAGGCCTGGGATGGGACACACTGGGCCAAGTTCTCATCACTTGGGAGCTGGGTAGTGACTCCTGTGATGAAATGATCCGCCTCAGGGAAGGTTTTTAAATGACCATTTAGTGATCCCTGCTCAGGCGCTGTCCTGAGCACCTGCATAGTTAATGCTCACAACAGCCCTACACGGGTAGGGGTGGAGGATGGAGAGGCA